GTAAAATTAATACCTTCTCAGCTTCGCATGGAACCTAAAAATATTTGTATTGGTATTTTTGAGACTCGATCACAAATTATTATAATCTTCGTTCGCGGTCTAACTGACATTTCTAAGTCAGTGTTGCCAAATGTCGAATCTTATTGTATGGATGGAATAATTTTTGAACTATTGATTTGACCATTTACCGGATCTTTAATGAAAATAATTACTTTTAGTTTTACTTCTCTCTAACATTTAATATTATCTACAAAATTAAAAATAGACAGTGTCCCATCAGATTTTAATATTTTTGATAATATATCGTCTAGTTAATATATTGTGTTACTTATAGCTTCCAAGCTAAAATGATATTAAATTTTACTATAATCTGTTTTTTTTTATGTCTGTTGCCACTTTTTCTCAGCTCTCACCGAACGGATTTCTTTCAACGATACGTCAAAAGATCACAAATCGTATCTAGTCGAAGACATTACCCTTCAAAATTGAAAAAATTTCCCTCGTTCCCCGTAAATGGGGGAAACCTCCAAAAAAATTACAAATTTAAAAATCGCTAATTTTCGAAATTTTTTCAATTTTTTTTACTAAAATGTGCCGTAACTTTTTCAAAAATGAACATATCAATATAATTTTTTTTTTTATAGATGCTTGATGTCTTTACCTATCATTTGATATATTTTTTTTGTAAATTTGACCCTTTATCTGCCCATAGGGGAGGATTTAAAAAGACAACTTTTTCAACTTAACTTTTGAAAATGTTCCGGAAGGTCTGACACTTTTATATATATCTTAAACTAATGCTAATGTAATATACTTTAATTTATAAAAAAAAAAATTTGACCTCTGGACTTGTCTTCATGGTGAAAATGGCTATCGAATGCTATTTTCGTGTGAAAATTCTCGATTTTATTTTTTATATTATATTTAACTTTATAATGCTATAACTTATTGAAAAGTGTATGGATCCACACAATTTTTTTATGAGAAATAATATTTTTTAATAAACCCTTTTTCATTCGATATACTTTGTCTTAATCGAGATATTAATAAGGACCAGCAGATCATGAAGCTTTTGGAATAAAACACCAATTTTTTTAAAATTAAACACTATCTAAAGATTTGCATCGAAGCGTTTATTTTTGATAGTGATTTTAATCTCTGTCAGATATCATTATACTTGATCCAACTATACCACGGCACCACTGTGCCCCGACCCCCCTGTGCTGGGTTTTTTATATTAAAATACCTTACAAGAATTTACCATAGTTATTTTCATAATAGTTTCATAAATCTAACTTTCATTAAATATGAAGTTTATTTTGTATATTTTGACTCCTCTAAGTTAAAAAAACGTCTTTTAATTTTTGAATAAGCTTAAATTATCTCTTTTAGCTTTTAATACATATGTTATACTAGTGCTCCTAATATGAAAGTTTTTTATCTTAAAGTGATCGTAAATTTTATGTATTTTTTCTATTATGATCCAAGTAAAACACCCGTTTATATTTAAACAATTATTAGTTTGTTTTTATTGTGTTTAAAGGCTAAATTTAAACCGCCTTTTTTTAATATTGTAATATTTTAATTATTTTCTTTAAATAAAGCTAAAAGTATAAATAATTAATTATTTGTACATGTATGTAAACAAAGTATATTAATAGTGTTTGTTGGATTAACTTTTTATTGAAAATAAATAATACCATTCATAAGTAGTAGATTAGGAAGTTACTATGCACTTAATTGTGGCACCTTTGTTATATTAATCAGTGTTGAGAAGGAACTGGTTCCAAAAGGAACGGATTCCTGGAACGAGTTCTTTTTGAAGGAACGATGCTAGGAACTGCTTCTTTTTAAAATAAAGGAACGAGGAAAATGAACAAATTCCATTTTTTAAGGAACGTGAACGGAAATTACAGTTCCTAAAAATTTTTATAAACATGTTTTAGTGTAGTTTTCTTCGTATCTAGACATTAAAATATTAAGGTATTTTTAGTTGACTTTTGACAATGGAAGTCCCCTATATACCCAGCCGAGATCGTAGGCTGTTTAAATGAATCAATTGACTATAAATAGAGTTATTATCACATGTAGGTATACAGTAAATATTTAATATATGTTTACCAGTAGAGAAAAATACAACTTCAAGTTCTCGTATTGAAGAGTTAGAATTATTCTTAAAATGCCAGTCGAAAGACTTGACTGTGTTACTATTGTACCCTGCAATATTAAAAGTATTTTTAGAATTTAACACACCCCTTCCATCTAGTGCTCCTGTTGAGCGACTGTTTTCGACAGGTTTCAATGTGATGACACAAAAACGCCATAAATTGAGTGATTCACTTTTTGAAAAATTAGTTCTATTAAAACAAAACAAATTTGGTATATAAAATGAAAATTTTGTTTTGTTTTAATAGGACTAATAATTCTCAAATTTGTAATTAATGTGTGTGTTAAATACTAAAAATACTTTTAATATAATACTATTAAATAGTAAAACTGTAAATAAATAGTTGTAAATAGTTGTTAACTGTACAAATTTTTTACAGTTAACTGCTATAAGTCTAATAATAAGAAATATGCATTATTACAATGTTATAATATTTAAAACTACATCTGTAATGTGTAGCATTTTAATTATTATAGTAGTTATTTATATTCTGATTTAAAAGATCAGTAGTACAGTTATACATTTTTATTACAGAATGATGTCACATTGTTTTTGTGTAGTTACTAGTTATAAAACATTATTAAATATATTTATTTATGCCTTTTGATTTAAATATGCCATATAATCTAATAATTCATAATAATAATAAAAACAATTTTTTAAATAACTTGGTTACATAAAAGGAACGGAGAGTGGAACGAGTTCTTATTTTGGAGGAACTGGATCTGGAACAAGTTCCTTCTTAATATAAAGAACTAGGATCTGGAACGAGTTCATATTTTAGAAAATAAACGGGGAACGGAACGAGTTCCATTTAAAAAGGAACTTTCCCAACACTGATATTAGTATTTAGTTTATATAAATAATCTTTTAAGATAGTTATTTAGTAGTTCATTTGTGATGTTAACTTGTAACGTTTAATAAAAAAAGAGGTAGAAAGGGGAAGGGTTAGATTAAATGGATTGGTTTAATTTGGATTCATTCATATCATTTTAATCCTACCTCTTACTCACTTTACCCTATTTCTTAATATTACATGAATATAGTGCATGCCTTAAGCGGCCCCTACACGATCAATAATACTGAATCAATTAAATTGTGTCAATATTTTGTGCAATATTTATTTGCCCTAAGCCTCTCAATATTATTGTCCAATATTCAATTGAAAAATATTCATTACCTATGTAACCTATCATCATAGGCGTATATTTTATGCGTGTTTACAAAGGCGTAGTGGCATTTAACATCAATTTATGTGATATTATAAATTACCACTGTTTTAAAAATGTATCTAACCGATAACCTATAACCACTGTTGCGTAATTTTGTACAATATCACATTCTAACGTACAATAATATTGTGTATTGTACAATTAATTTCCAACCCCGTTTGATTTTTTCAATATATTGTACAATCCTTTAATATCTATACTAAACTTTCAATAATATTGCGCAATATCAATTATTGTTCAATATTATTGATCGTGTAGGGGCCGCACTACGACTGCACTTACCTTGACATGCAGATGAACTCTGTTACATGATGAATTGTGATGTTCTTTGTTGTCGTCTTAAATTAATTAAAGTTAAATAAATAAAACACTGATATGAAGGGTAACATAATGAATTTATATCTATGGTTTGAGTTAGTTATTTTAACAAATATAAAAGACTTATGTTTATAATTGACCAGAGTAACGTGAATTTTTACATTATTAACTTTAATAATAAGAATGAGAGTATAGGTGAATAATAAACTATTGCGTTAATTTTCCTAGCCCATTTATATTTATATTAAACTTGTGGGGAAAAGATAATGAAGAGAGGCTAATTTTCTTAAAATTTTAACTATTATATCCAGCCGTCTATTTGACGCCACAAGTACGCTTATAGTAATTAAAAGGATTGACATTAATGTAAACATCGAGCATATATAAATATGAACAATATATTTATAAAAAGTAGTAAAATAATTATTGGTAAGAAAAGTGATTAAAATATGTCTTCAAATGTGGTCAAGAAAAATTAATCTCAAAACTTTTATTTTAATTCATTACAAACGTCACTCTACTGTGCTATTGGCATCTATGACTCCCATTTGAAGTCAACAGGCATTTATTTCAATATTATAAGTTGTCATGAGACTACTATTTCTCGTCTCATTAACTGTTTTTTGAACACCAAGCTAGGAGATCAAACTTGTTTACTATCTATACGTAGGAAAATTCAACGATTACTATTTTAAAATAAATCAAATAATTGAAACAGATTTAATAGAAAGAAAGCTATTTATGTACATCTAATAGACTATTAGATGTGCATGCATATATGGATATATATAAATATATGGATATAGTAATACAAATAAAAATAAAAAAATCTGGTTTGGTGACACAGCTCCCTGATTTTTCTCATGAAAAATTTTCAACCCTCCTAATGGCAAATTAATTTGACTGCCACTGTTTTCTTTTTAAAATAATTTATAAAAAGATTTTTAGAGGATAATAGTTTAGTTTAGTACTGTATACCACATTTTATGATAAAGGCCTATTAAGGATTCTTAGAATAATATTAAAATGAAAAATTCAATGAAATTTCAATGGAAAAATAATTTAAAAATTTTAAATCTTAAAAAACGTGTATAATAATTACTGCTTAACAGCATACATACATTTATTTAATGATTATTTAAAAATTTAAAATACCGCATATAGTTCAACCAATAGGTGCACTTGAAATTTATGCTATCAATCAGCATTATCACCTGGGTCCAGCGTATCATTTCCCTGCGCCAATTCAAGATATACAATATTATTATAAAATTATACATTTCTATATAATTTTTTTTAACAGTGCGTAGTATTTCATATACTTGTACATTTTTACACAAAAATTATCTTAATTAAATATTTTGAATGAACTTCACTAATCAAATTCTACTAATTTGTCCAAAAAAAAAAATCTATTTCCTTTTTATAATGATTTTAAAATAAAAATAATTTTTCTAAAAAAAGTTATGTCCTTAGTTTTTATTTATAATGCTAAAACAATTGATAGTTATTATTTTAATTCCAATAATCTTAGTTCAATGCAATGATTCAATACATACCAATATTAAAGTATGGGGTCCTGGATTAAACCCAAATATTGTATTGCCAGCTAGGTATTTTTTTGTTCAGAATTATCAAGATAAGTAAGACATACTATAATTAAATTATCCGACAAATATTTAGCATATTTACTTGAAGTTACTATACTCGACAATATAGTAAAATATTTGTTGAAAAAAATTATATGTTAAGTTTTTACAAATAAATATGCTCTCATATTTTGAGTTTTGGTTATATTTTAAAAACTCTAATTTTTGTTTTGATTTTATAGATTAAATGTAAAAGATTTCAATATAGTAATAACTGGTACTACCAAAAATGGTAATAAATGTCATATTTGGACAAACATATTAGACAGAAAGGATTCTTCTTTCATTGTTAGATATAAAATTTATGAAACTTGTTATGGGTTTCAAATACTAGTTAAATTAGAAAAATCTAATGAAGAAGTTGTCAATTATTATTATAGAGGTATATTACATTGATGTTTTTTCAAAATGTACTAAATATTGCCTAAGTACAATCAGGATTACTGTTGAAACAATAAATTCTATCTGATATATGAACGTCTATCTTTATAATAGTGGTGTGATTTTTTTTTTAATTCATAACTAAAGAACATTATTATATTGAACATTTAGTACTTCTGCTATTTGTAAATAAATTATATTTTAAAACTGAAAAGACCAAAATTGATTTAAATTGATTAAATTAAATAACTTATTATAAAAATGATACTTAAGGATTAACTTAGATTTTCCTTATTCAAGTTACTAAAACTACTTATTTATTAATCATAGGACCCATACATCCAGATGAATGTGACTGTTTTCAAATAACCATAGATAATTGGATATCTAATGCACAATGTAAAGCAAACATTCATCAAATTGATATTGATTTAAGTCAGTTCAAGAAAATCAATTTTGATAATTTAATTGGTGAAATGGTGACATATTTTAATAAAAACCCGTATAGTATGAGTATTTGTCAGTATGTGGTGAAAAATAATTTGGTAAACTTAATTTTAATATTTAATTTCTCATTTTAATTGAAGTGAAACCTTATAATTAGTGATCGGATTTATATGTTCTTAAGTTATTCCAATGACATCATCAGTCAGTACAAATTTGTAATAATAGGCTTGAAAACTTAGTAATGTGTTCTAACCGGGGTTGTGTATAGAAGAGGATTAGGAAGATTTATTCCCTCCTAAATTAAAAATATTTTTATACTCTGTATAATCCAACAACATATTTGCACAAAGTTGAGTCTTTTAAAGTGTTTCAAACATAATTTATAAACTCATATAAATTCACTCTTTACTTTACTTACAAGTTTGAGTGTTTCCTAATAATAATAAATTTATGTTTTTTTTTAGATTTTTGTAATAATTAAAATTTTAGATTGAAAGTAGAAAAAGAGTTATGAAAATTTAAAGAAATTTTTTAACCTACCCTACTTTCTGAAGTTTTAAAATTAAAATGTTATGTGTATTTAAAATATATTTCATGTTATATTTAGTTCAATTGTTATATTTTATTTTAACCTTAATGTTTTTAATACTGAGTATTTTTAACCCATTTGAGGTAGCTATCTGATTTTAGACCTTAGCTAATAAATGTAATAATAAAGTTTCACTTTTAAAAAGGTTATTATAAGTTATTTTATTTATTTTTTAATTTTTTAGATTTTTAGGAAATGCTATGGTGAATATACTGGCTTTAAAATGTTCATGGACAACTTATTACTGTCGTTAACTAGAAAGTTAAGTAGTTTTACTACTACATTTAAATATCTATTTATAGTGTAAGACCAATTTATATTATTTTTTTATAGAAAGATTTTAATCATTTTTTCTTAAGAAAATTTAATTATATACTCAATATTTTTTTAGATTTTATTATCTTATAATCAGTGAAATAGAAAAACTAAAAATTTTAAATAACGTCTATTCAGATATAAATTTTGGGTTTGGACTATTTTGTAGTATAATATTAATTACAATATTTTGTAATCTGAAATTTAAATAGTAGTAAATCAACCATTTTACTTATTTTTTATTCGTTACTTTGAAACTATTCAAGTTTAATTTAAATTTAAATTTATAGGTACGCTTACCTGATATAGAATTTTTTGTTAATTTGGGTGATTGGCCATTATCAACTAAAAATAAAAAATTTCCAATATTTTCATGGTGTGGATCAAACTCTTCAAATGATATAGTAATGCCTACATATGATATAACTGAATCATCACTTGAAAATATGGGAAGGTATGTTTAAAAATCATTATAATGTATTAGGCCAAACTGATTCTTTTGTAGCCAATGGAATATTTCTTTAGTAAAGGAACAGTAGGCTAAAAGAAGAATTATGTAATTCATAAAATGCACTATGACTACTTACATAAAGTCTGTAAATAAAATTGTATTATTCTATAAATTTTAAATAATTATTTTAGTGAAACTAACCACAAATATTTCCTATTTAAAATGTATTCATGTTATCATTTAAACATGAATTAAGTTTGGTGAATTCTTAAATTTTGTTAATTTGAGAAAAAAAGACCGACCTAACTGTCACTAGATATCTTCTTTAGTTAAATAATTATATACTGAGAAAATAAAATGCTAAACAATTTTTTTTAACTTAAGTCTATAACTGTTATAAAAAGTTTGTTATTTATATTTTATAGGTATGAGCTTAATAATTTTATTAAAAAAATTAAACTTAATATAATAAAAAGGAGTAATAAATATTTTTTAATTACTTTGTTAGAGTCAGTTTGGATATGTTATCAGTTCAAGGCAACATTGATAAAGAGTGGTCAAAGAAAATTTCAAAAGCCTTTTGGATGGGCCGAGATTCAAACAAACAACGATTGAAATTAATTGAAATTAGTAAACAACATCCTGAACTCATTAATGCTTCAATAACAAATTTTTTCTTCTATAAAGATTTAAAAGAAAAATATGGACCTAGCAGTAAACCAATATCTTTTTTCAAATTTTTTGATGTAATTTTTGTTCTTAATATTAATTTAACCAACACAATTGGTTAAATTGGAAAGGAGTACCAAACTTTTTTTTCTAAAGTTTACTTATATTTTTTTAATAAAAATTTTATTAGGGTCCCCAATTTTAATATTTTCCAATTTAACCATACCTACACAAAATTTCACTTAAATATGTGTGCTATTTTAAAGCAATTTTAGTTTATTTTAGGTAGTAAACACACTAATTGAAGGGTTAGCAGGAAATTTTCAGCTCGTTATTCCACAAAAAAAATGTTACAAAACACCTTTTTGAATTTCATTTTTTTCTTTTTGTGAAATAACATCTATGAAGCCAATTGCTACATAACATGTTATTACCGCTGGCTGACCTTTCAATTACATAGATTTTATTATTATAATTAATGTTTATTAATTTTTAGTACAAGTATCAACTAAATCTTGATGGAACTGTAGCAGCCTATCGGTTTCCATACCTACTAGCTGGAAATTCACTAGTTTTCAAACAAGATTCTGAGTTTTATGAACATTTTTATAATGAATTAGTGCCTTGGGTTCACTATATACCAGTGAAAAAAAATTTAGAAAATCTAGTTGACTTATTAATAAATATGACTTTGCATGATAATGAAGCAAAAAATATATCATTTAATGGATTCAACTATGCTAGAAAAAATTTATTGCCACATAATATATTGTGCTACTATATGCTGTTATTTCAAGTAATTAATTATCATCCAAAATAATTGTATATAATATAAAAAGGAACTTTAATATCCATGGTAATCAATTCTCAATTTTATTTAAAATAATTTTTAAAATTCGCATTAGGACATTATTTATTTTTTTTACATCATGTTTAATTTAATTTAGATGAATATTTACCAATGTTTTTTGTAGTACTTCCTTTAACTTCTCTAAATACCTAAATAAATAACTTATAGTTTATGCTATTTTCTTAAGTTATTTATTCATAAGAATTGTTTAATATTTTTTGTTTTTTTATTAGTTTTTATGTTCTATATTTATATAATCAATAGTTTTTAATAAAAATTTAGAATATTTTTATAATTTTGAAGAAACTACACATTTAAAAAATAGTTTTTTCAAATATATTGAAGAAAAACTAAAAATAAATTTATTATTCAAATAGTTTTGACATATATCATTACTAATAAATTTTGGTTACTTAAAAATAAAAATGTGTAATTTGTAGCTTTGATGCATAATTGAAAAGTTATTGGTTTTACTTGAGCGTTTTTTTTTTTCCGTAAAATTTGAAAATCTAATTCTTCATGAACTGTGGTACTGTAAGGACATAAAAATCTTATCAGAATTTATTCTTTTTTATATTTGGCAATATTACAAAAAAATTACATTAAATTTATGCTAATGCAATATACTTTATAATAAAAACTATTTGAAATCACAATTTCTAGGTTTATAAAGAATTTAAGTGTAAAATCGTACAATTTTCAGTATAAATGTTGATTTTGAAGTGTTTTGTATAGCAACAAGTTATCTACATCATTCATAACTAAATCAAATTATAGATTATGGTAATGTACTATATATTGATAAAAAAAGAAAAACTTATTGGCCTCTAAAGTGACAAAAAGCATATCATTTTTGGTGGATGTGTTAATTTTTTTTTCAAATATGTATTAAAGCGCTCTAGTAAAACTAAACTTAGATAGATAGCCTCAAGCAAATCCTTGCTGTACTTTATTGATATTTTTTAATTATTAGTGATATTTGAAACTGGTTTTTCAATTTTCTATAAAATTAATATTATTATAAATATATTAGGAGTACAGCAAGTTATTAGTGTCCAAAGTAGAAGTACGTGATGATATGGAAGCAGTGCATAGTTCAAAAGTGAATAATAGAGTGAACTGTGACTGTAATGAAGCAATAGACAATGTTGATAAAAAATTAAAGTTAGAACTTTAAAACAAAATGTGATTTTAAATTTTACTACTTGTATTTTATTTTTTTATTAACTATATTATACTCAACATTTAATTTTCATTCAATTAATTCTAAAAAGAAATAATTCTTGCCAATTATTTTTATTTTAATAAAAATATTTGTAATATATTACCTTAATTTGTATTTAACATGTTCTTTTTTTCAATTTTCAAAGATATTTTATTAAAATATAAAATATTTGTAAGCTAAACTTTTATTTAACCAGCCTAATTTAACAAGAACCATAAGGAAGATTCATTATGTGAAGCAAGTAAAAGACAAAACCAGAGTACAATGGATTTTGTACCATATCCTAAAGGGAAAGGATTAAAAGCTAAAGTTATAAATTACTTTATTTTAGTTGTTGAATAGATGTACAAGAACTACTCATGCACTCAGACCTATAGGTTTGACATAGACTAATTTTAAGGTTACTCAGAGTATGTGCTGTTATAAAATAAAAGGAGGAAATTTTGAAGAATCGAAGATATAAAAAAAAATTACTTATTGGTAAAAGTTAACAGAATGATAATTTTGTTTACAAATAATGCTAACAAGTAAATAAAATTAATTGGCATATTTCTTTTAAAGAGCTTTATCTTTTTTTTTTTATATATATATAAATAATACAAATAAGTAACAATAATTGAGGAAAATCTTTTTGTACATTTTATAGAAATATTGAAGTGAACATAAACTTTTTACCAGTACTTTCAAGTTTTACTATTTGAATATAGTTACCTGCGACTTCATTCATATTATAATTTTATTATATTACATACTTAATTTAATAAATTTCTGGAATCAATTTACTGATAAATGTTTAAAATATACTTCATAAATAAATAAATTTCAAAATTATTTTGCAACAAATAATGATATTTGAAAAAAAGGTTATGTTTAAACATATTTTGCACTTGTATAAAACTTATTAAACATAGTTCTATAATAAATTATAAATTAAAAATAATAATTACAATTCAAAACTATAGTTAAAATAAATTATTATAATATTAATTTCTCTAGTAAAATTGTTTTAAAGTAGCGGATTAAGATTTTTAGTGAACTCTAGTTGACATATTATTTTCTTGCTTTAAATGAAAAAAACTTGTTTCTGTTAGTTCTGGATCACATTTGAGTTTTGAATTATACATAAAAGGAACATATTCTATATTCCCATTAGACCAACCCTATAAAAACAAAAAAAGTATTTTCATTGAGTCATCATACAAAATATAACAAAGACAAAATGTATTACATTCCTATAAATTTAAGGAATGAAATTAATAAACAAACCCTCAACAGTGAAAAATCACTATCTTAAAAAAAGCATTGATGCAAATTAAATTTACATCAAATAAATTTGCAATGTTTATCATAATAAATAAATATAGTATAAAATTGATACTTAATAATTTAGTATTAAAACTTTTGCGGAGAAATTATAAAAATTATATAGTAGTTATTATTTTTATGGCAAACAAATATTAAAGTTAAAGGTCTTGATCCAATACTTAAAAAAAAATTGTTTGTTATTTATAAATAAATTTACTGGTCTACAAGAAATTTTCATCAAAGACCAAAATATACTTTTTTAAACTCATTTTTACACTGATTTCGAATCTGCAATTAGAGTTTCGCATATGGACTAAATAAATAATAAATAACAAAATCCTTCTAATTAATATAACAAATATTTATGTTTGATTATTATGTTACGTATGAATAATCAATAATTATATTTTAATTAAAAATAAGTTGAAAAAGTTCTATTTTCTATATGCATTTTAAAGTTTTAAACCCTCCCTGTATAAAGGGACAATGGTCCGATTTAAAAAAAAAAGAATGTCGAATGAAAGAGATATAAATAATATATCTCATAAAAAAATTGTATTGATCCATATATTTTTCAGAAAGTTATAAAGTATAAAATAAATAGCACATGATAGCCATTTTCACCATGAACACAATAAAGTCTGAAATTTTTTTTTTCCATAATAAAGTATATTATATTAGCTTTAATTTAAGATAAATATAAGTGTCAGTATTTCTGGAACACTTTCAAAAGTTAATTTTTTGTGAAAATGTTGTCATTTTTAATACTTCCCTGTGGGTAGGTAAAGGGTCAGATTTATAAAAAAAAATATACAAAATGGTAGGTAAATATCTCATGTATCTATAACAAAAAAATTATATTAATTTAGTTATTTTTAAAAAAGTTATTGCAGTTTTCATTACAAAAATTGAAAATATGTCAAAAATTAGTGATTTTTAAATTAGTAATTTTGTTGGAGATTTTCCCCATTTACGGGGAACGAGGAAAATTTTTTTAATTTTTGAGGGTGATGTCTATGACTAGATACGATTTGTGATGTTTTGATGAATTGTTGAAAAAAATTTATTTGGTGAGTGCTGAAAAAAAGTGGTAACAGACAAAAAAAATAAAAAACACATCATAGTAAAATTAATACTTTCCAGCTGCAATGATAAGCTAATAAATATTAAGACTTAAGTCAGATTTGTTTTTCAATTTTAAACTTATCTTTAACACAATATTTTTGTTTTGGGTTTGCAATAATACTGCAATAATTATAATGTTAGAATAATAATTGTAACTTTAAAGATTAACTATGTAAATAGTTTAAAATTGAAGATATTTTAAAAATCACGAAAGTTTTAACTTGTTTGAATGTAAAACTAATCACAAGAAAGTTATTAAATATAAATTATTAAAATATTACTCTATGACGCAACTTAATATTATTTTCTAAATTATTTGGCTAATTTTTGCACTACATTAAATAAATTTTAAAATATAATAATATTTAAAATTACTATTGTTAATAAAGATCCTGCTTCGTATAAAGGTTGAAATGCCACAACAGAAGGTTCTTCATCTAAATATCCTTGTATAATACAACTAAAATTTAAAAAAAATAATTATCAATTTTTAATAATTATAAAATAATTACTAATGTAACTTACAGAGGAATACAATCAACCACAGTTGTGTTTATAGAGGTGGTAAATATAAGTACTGAATTATTATCCTTAAACGTAATAGCTAATCGTTTACCATTTTGATCCCAGCACATATCAGAGGGTATGCCACCAATGCTTGAATGATTAAAAACTGTTATTTATTAAAAATACATATAAAAATGTACAGTTAAAATAGTCATTTCATAAAGTAAAAGAGAGTAAAGAAGAACCATACATGTACATTTAGAACATGTAATTGATACAGATTTCTGATTATTTCAATAAAAAATACTATTAAGCAATAAAAAAATCTAGTAATATTTATACTCTTTAAATGTTATTCAACTAAAATGAAGCTGAAATATAGTGAAGTAGTAACTTAATAAACACAAAAAAAGATTTTTCGTGGTTTAACATCTCTTATAAAATATCTACATCTATGACAAATCTGTGCTAAATGCATTCCTGACAAATTTTAATAATCATCTATGTTGAATTATATTTAACATTTCTACAACTTGATGATCATTTAATTAAATAAATTTATCAAAAAAAATAATAAACAGTTAAAATACATTAATAGGAATTGTAAAATAACTATATCATTTATATATACATTTATTGTATTTTAAATGTTTTGGTAAACTTAAAATGTTATATTGCATAACCATTTTAGTTTTATTTTATTTATTTCATAAATAATTTATTCCTTCGATAAAATATATCTGGCATGTAATTTTTGTGAATTATATCAGTTATCTAGAACAGAAGTGACAAAAAATATGATTGAATTTAAATATTGAAAAACACTATTCAATGAATTTGTATGGAGAATCAATAAAAATAAATAAAAAATAGTACTATATTTAAAAAAAAATCACTATGATCTTTAAAATCCAATAAAAATAAATAAAATTTATTTTACTTTTTAGTTTTGAAATTATCTAATTTTATTCTAAAATTTAATATTGACCCTTAGGCTCTAGGTGCCTATTAGTAGCTATAAGCCAAAGATATTTGATAAAATTACATTTGAACATGAAAATACATACTTTTTATCATTAATCCTTTCGCTTTTTAAATCGATAACAGGCCAAGCAACTTTTTTATAATTTAACGGTTCATTAAACACATCAGATTTTCTAAAGTCAATAGCATTTACAGCAGGACATGAATCTGTTGCAAATAATAGTATTAAACTACATGGAGACCAACATGCACATTGCACTCTTGACTTGGTACTTACAGACCACTTGTCTGATACCCACTTATCAGTATTCCAAATTCTATTAAATTATTTTATTTTTTTAAAACATACATAATTATTCTTTTTTATAAAAATTCTACCTAAATGATTCATTAGTTGTGCAACTAAATACTTTTGTGTTATCAGGTGACCAAATAACAAAGTTCAATGTACCTGTACCAATTCTACGTAATGGTACACTATTTCCTAATGGATAACTCCATACATACATTGTTTTTGAACTCACAGCAGTAGAAATTAATAGATCACCCTGTTATATAAATATCAAACTTCAATGAATTTTTCTCATCAAAGATCATATCTTAATAAATAATCTTACAAACCATTTTATTCCATGATAAACCAGTTATGTATCTATGATCATCTCTCACAAATTCAGAAACATTATTAACAGAAGGTCTAGCATGTAGAACACTAAATTCAATATTCCAAATAAAAATTCCTTTTTCACATCCAACTGCTATTGTACCAGTGCTTAATGGTCTAAAAAAAAAATTATCATATGGATTTTATTGCAAAATTTAATTTAAAGTAAGATTAACATACCTCCAAGCTAAAGATAAAATAGAGCGTTGTGATTTTTTCTTTATTCTAGCTTCAATACCTTTTTGGTTATAAACAAATATAGTGTCATAAGAAGATACAACTGCAAGTTTAAAAGTTTGAGGGTGCCATGCCATAGAACGAATAATACTTGAAGACCATAGCTTGGTGCGGCTAACACCAGATAATTTATTTTCAGAACCCTACAAAAGAATTGCAAATATTAGTTATAAAAATCATAATAGATTAATAAACTAAAAAAACTTTTTCTCATATGTATTCAATGTTTTAGTTTGCACTGTATATATACAGAGTGTTCAGTAAGTAAGGAAACAGGTCAATTGATACAAACAATGAAAACAATAGAAACCTGTTTCCTTACTTACTAAACACCCTATATATAAATGTGTATATTAAAGTACAATAAAACAAAGAAAAAAATGTTGAACAAATTCATAACGAGAATTTTTGCCAGCTTTAGGCTTTTCAGAACCCTAAGGAAGTATTATTTTTGTGCCCTGTAAAAAAATTATGACCTTATTTTTTAATAAGCAAATAAAAAAAACTTCTAAATCTTGAAAATGTCTTGGCACATTGAATTTTTCTTGGAGAGGTGCCTTGTGCCATCACATTCATCGATTATATCTAAAACAGGCACTGACTAGAAATAATAATTAGAAGTAAATAAAAAAATTACAGAATTTTTAATACAAATTATATTTTTTAATTAATATGCTTTTAGCTAGAGAGCTTTTTGTATTAGCCCTGTCGACAACATCCTCAACCTAGCAGAAACCATCACTCGAAGAAAGAAAATTGTATATCTCACTAAGACATGCAGCTAAAATTAAAACAAACTACTCAAACTTTAAGCCCTATAAAAAATTAACAACATATAATACAAATATAATATAATAATCAACAATATCATAAACAGAGAATAGTTAATAAAAACTCAATGGAATATAAAACTGGATATCAACACTGAACTGACCTCAATTCACAAAAAAGACACTAATAGTATGATATATAAGAACTGATTCTACCCTAAATAAAACAAATTTCAAATAATCTCATTATATATTGAAGAAATACATAGTTTACCATTGTTCTTTCTATACAATAGAACCAATAACTACAATCAAAGCAATAGATATTACATCAAAAACCAAAAAAAATTCATAATAATAAATGACTCACTCAGTGCTATTGAAACAGCAAAAAACTCATATAACCTATATAACCCATAAAACACTGCTTAGTTAATTCAAAATAAAATCACAAATCTCATTTGAGAAAGCCAAGACATTAAATTAATTTGATGCAGTGCACCAAGAAACATACAAATAGATATATTAGGAAAATTAACTGTCAATAACAACAACATATCTGAATTACAGATTCATTCATACAATGATATCATTTGACACGGTACCTTGTTTCCCTCAGCCACACATCACATTATCAACCTAAATGAAAGTGTATCGGGATCTAAATCATAAGTGCATAGTGGCCTAGTGGTAAGGTTTGTCTATACGACGCCTTGAGTCGCGGGTTCTAATCCCGTACCGTGCCTCTTTTTTTCACATGATTTCCAGTACACTTTCTATTACCGGCCGTCATTCCCGGCGCCCGTGTTACATTAATTACATAAGAGATAGAATTAATACATCAAAAGAACACAAGCGGAGAAATATGTATGTCAATCTAAATTAAAGGACGAAAGTGAGAGAAACAAACCTGAGAGGAGCTTTACAGGAAGAGAGGAATCAGTAATAAAAACACTTAACTCAAATATAATCTATCTTTACCTGTTCAAAAGAGAAGCCTCCAAATTTTACAAGCTGCAACATACCTTATACTGTAAAACACATTTTAATCGAACAGCATATCCACAATGGTGACAAGTATGCATATGAAGTTTTTGATTATCTATATTGCTCTTTAGGGCAGTATAGATTCTGCCTCAAATACTAAGATTTCTCTCAAAAACAAAATTAATCAACTTAACAAATTCAAACAAGTTCTCATTATCGTAAACTTAAATTTATCATGCATTGTAACATTACTTTATATATATTTGTAATATTTAAGAAGATATTAAGCTAATGACCTAGTAGCCGGAACTTTAGACAAATAAATAATAACAATATGTTTTATCATACTTAGGCCAAATTAAATTCTATAATAAAAATATTGTTAAACTTTTTTATTAAAGAAATATTTTTAGACATTAAATTCTATAAGTCAGTAAAATAAATGACTATTACTTTTAAGTTCATTCTAGGTGATAACATCAACATTAAAAATTTGATTGGGTGTATTATCTTAGAGACACTATTTTGATTTCCATCAATATATTTTTCCAAATCATCCCAAGCTGACCAAAATCCCTCATTCATACTAAAATAAAATAATAAACTATTGATAAATAAATTTTAATTTTAATACATTTTTCATTTATTTTAATTTTTTCAAACCCTTAGTACATAACAGTGTACCCATGATTTTTTTTTCTTTTTTAAAGTTTTTATCGTTATTTTAAGCTAGAACAGTGATAGTGGTTTCAATACCAAAAGATACTAAATGATGTGAGCAATAAAAGTAAAAAAAAAATTTTAAGTAAAAACAGATAAATCTGGATATAATTTTGGTTTAAAACAGGGTCACATATTAATAGAAAATAAACGGGTTAAATTGAATAATAAAACATATTTTAAAATAATACTGTAAAACTATAATTATATAAAATTGTGTCAGTACTGTTCATAATTCATGGATCTTATTAAACAATTATTATTGTGTTTTTATATTATTTTTCTTACTATTTACTAATAATATTTTGAAGTATGGTTGGTCGTGTAGTTGGTAAAAATAAATTTTCTGGAGCATTATCTACTTGCAGCTGAATAATGATATTTGGATAGTTAATAGTCTAAAATTTGTTAACATATTTAATATATAAATTAAATTTATATCAATATTTTACAAATTAATTGTATATTATTCAATATAATTAATAAGATATATAATAAAAGTGTATATAATATTTATCTATATTCTATATTCTATATCTAAAAAATCACTAGGGTTATTCTAAGGTAACAAAATAATGATTTAGCTCCCATAAAAATTTATCTTACCAAGAGATATCTCCACTTGTCCCTCAATTATTGATCAAAGTTATGATTACTATCTACCATCATAATATTATTATAACTTATTAGTTAGTAAAATTCTGTATCAATCTTCTACTAACTTTTTCAGAATAAAAATTTGTAATTAAATTAAAAAATTAACAATATTTAACAAAAATTACTTGATTATCATTTTTAGAAATTACTAAATCAGTAAAGACAAGTCATTAGAAAGTCTTCTTTTTTTAATCAGATAGAAATATTCTTTACATTTGATTTAATTTTTTGAATGATATAGATAATCCATTGCTATGCAAAACACTTAAAAATCAACCATTTTTACTGAAAATCATATGATTGTTAGCTTTAATGCTCAATACTCCAAGAAATCAAGATTTAAAAGGGGTTTTTTTTTTTCATCATGAAGTACATTGTATTAGCTTAAATTTAATGTCTGTTTAAAAAAGGCAGATTTTTTGAAAAATTATCAAAAATTAAAAAATAAATTTCTTATATAATTTATGATTAATGATTGGATTTTCAAAAAAAGTATGTTGATGGTAAGGCAAATGTAAAGTATCATCAATGAAAATTTTACAAAATCCGTCCAATTTTTAAAAAGTTATTACAGTATATAACAAAAATTAAAATTATCAACATGTTTTATGAAAATTGATATTTTTTAGAACATTTCTCTTTATTAAATCAAAACACGCTAAATATGATTTTTTAACCACAACTAAAATTAACGTATGCACATGAGTGTTAATACTAGTGAGTAACAATGTGTACCACATAAAACTTTTATACCAGTAAGGACTTGTTTCTATGTGCGATTTATTTTGAGGAATAATGAATTTGTCAACTTTCCCCTTTTGCTATTTTTAGCAAACTAACATTAATCAGAACAAAAACTATTATAAAGAAATGTGTGTCTTATCAGTTTGTAGCTATTAAGTAGTCTTCTTCTTTTTTTTTGCCTTAATCCTATCTTCACTCCACTCATCTATCTAAACATTCCCATCTCTGTTACACTCATTCTCTACTCTACTTTCTTGTCAACCGCCCAACACTCTGAACCATGAATCATAGCTAGTCTTACATAGCCTTATACAATTTACCATTCAGCCTCATTGAAATTCTTTTATCACATAACACATCAGACGATTTTCTCCACTTCAACCACACGCACTTAATCCTGTGTCTTACATCCTCGTCAATACCATCATTCTTTTTGCACAACTGATCATAAATACTTAAAACTTTTCAATTCTCTTATCACATCCTCGCTTATTGTCACTGATCTCATTCCGCCTACAATTATTTTTTTTTATGTCAAACTCGTATTCTATATATTCTGTCTTACTCCTACTTATTCTTAATCCCTTTCCTTCAAGAGCTGATCTCCACACCTCTACCCTTTAATTCATTTCATCCCTATTTCCTCCTATTAACACTATATTGTTAGCAAACAACAGGCACCACCCCACCTCTTCTTGTGTTTCTCTAGTAATTTCATCCATCTCTGTAGAAAATTAGGTGTAGCTATTAAATAATACTTTTAGAATATTTAGATGAGACATTTCCACATTTTTTTAAACATACTAACACTTAGTATTTTGACATTTGAAAAATGTCATTAAAACAAGCTAAACCATATGAATTCCTACCCCTTATGTCCTATATAGGTTTTGACAAACACTGTGAAATTAAAAAAAAAATAATTATGAATAACAATGTAATTAAAATTAACACAAACTCTTATTATTTTTTATTAAATAATTTACTTACTTGAGGCTTAACTCGTTTAACCATAAAACTAGAAGACATGTTATTGTCTATAATGGTACTATTTTCACCTAATTCCGGAAAATCTTTTAGAGAACACATATTTATTGTATTTCTTCAAGGTTTAAAACCCAATCAGATTTTCAAAAAAAAAAAAAGCACACATTCATACATTCACACAACTAACATTATCAATAAACATAACTCATATAAACGTCGGAAAACAAAATTACTTTAATTTATCATTACCGGTTTCTTGATTAACTATCGTTACTATTTCCCACGAGATAAAAGATAAAGTCAGTGTACCGTATACTCCTACAATATTTAATGTTTCCGTTATTTTTGAAAACATTTCATATGTTGTCTTAAAAATCACTGTTTTAGGGGTATTTGAGAGTATAAAGGTTTTTCTATAAAAATGTGGAATTATCCCATAAATGTGTTATTTAAATAAAATGCTTAATACTTATATATATATATATATTCTTTGCTTATATATGTATACATATAACCTCAAATACCCTTTAAAACAGCACTTTTGCGGATAATATTCAAGATATTTTCGACTCCATAAGAAGGAACTTCGTCGACCATAAGCCGGGTTTCCATTATTCGAATATTTTCTAAATATAAATTATTTATCTATAATATCAAACAGTGGGAATGGTGTACTTGTACGATTGTTTGACATTTGTTCATTGGCATTAGTTATTCGTCATCTTCTAGACGGTTATTGGAATTTGTGACACGAATCAAAAATATTATAAATATTTGTCCAAATACGTTATAGGTGGGAATGTTCTACTGGGCTACGTTTTTTATTTTAACGAATACTCGCCCAAAATCAATACATTATTTATTTAAATAAATTTTTTTATTTAATTAATTGAATTATTTGTGTCAAGTTAGTTAGTTAAATATATTTTCAATTGTATTATATTATTATACAAAGTGATTTTTTGAGGGAAATCTCCAAAAAAATTACATATTTAAAAATCGCTAATTTTCGAAATTTTTTTTACTTAAAACTGCCACAAATTTCTTAAAAATGAACAAATCAATATAATTTTATTTTTATAGATGCTTGATGTCTTTACCTAAAGCTTAAAAACGCATATAAAAAGTAAAACTTTTTAAAATTGATTTTTGAAAGAATTCCGGAAATATTGACACTTTTATGTATATAATAAATTAAAGCTTATGTAATATACTTTAAAATGAAAAAAAAATTTTGTGAAAACTGACGTTAAAGTTAATAAAAAAAATTTTTTATATTTTTAATTTTATAATTATAATTTTTTTATAATAACTATTTTACATACCTCTTTTATTCGACATACTTTTTTTTAAATCGGATCATTTCTCTTTATACAGAGGTGGTTCAAAACTTGAAAACTTAAATGCATATAGAAAGTAGAACTTTTTCAACCTATTTTTAATTAAAGTATAATTATTGATTATTCATACGTAACATAATAATCAAACATAAATATATATTATATTAATTAAATTTTGTTATTATTTAGGCCATATGCGAAACTCTAATTGCAGATTTGAAATCGGAGCAAAAATGGATTTAGAAAAGTTTATTTTGGTCTTGTAGACCAATATATTTATTTATAAATAACAAAAAAAAATTTTTTAAGTATTGGACCAAGATCTTTAACTTTTATATTTGTTTGCCATAAAAATAATAACTACTATATAATTTTTTATAATTTCTCCGCAAAAATTTTAATACTAAATTATTAAGTATCAATTTTATACTATATTAGATAATTATTTATATATTAATTATAAATCATAAAACTTCTAATCAGGATATAAATATGGAAATAGCAGATCATGTAGCTTTTTTAATAATCCACCAATTTTTTAAAATTAAATACTATCTATCGATTTGCATCGAAGCATTTTTTATAAATAGTTTTAATCACTGTCAGATTAAATCTATACAGGACTCAACTATGCCACATCTCCACTATGCTGAGTTTTTTTCTTCTTTCCTTCCTAGCCTCCATACTATTTGCAGGGCAAACCGCTCTTATTTAAAACTAACAGATACCTGTAAATTAAAAGTGATTATGTCGTGAATAGCAGCACTGCAAAAAAGGGATATAAAAAAACTTTTATTCTCAATTGAAAAGAATCTAATTACAGTGGACAAAAATTTAAATGATTCCCAACAATTTCAATTATATCCAATGTTATTTTAGTGATTAAGTTTATCCCAGTAATTGAATGAAAATTGTTTTGTCGTAGTTTAGAAACTATAAATTATTTTTACGGTTTATTATAATTTTTTGGATCTAAATTAATCCCAAGGGCGTGGTGTGGCGCGTTGGTCACACTAGTTGTTGACAAAACTCTAGTGATAAACCACGCCTGTCGCCTTAGGTGAATGGATGGGTGACCATGCGTGCGCTTCTACGGTGGCGAAAAAAAGCACCATGTTCCCAGAGCAGAAGGCAACGGGAAACCACTGCACCCAGGATATAGCTATGACAAGGCTTAGCCATTAGAAAAGAAGAACAAGAAGTAATTAATCCCATTAAGTATTAACTTACACTTGAACACTAGTATTCAATATTCAAATATTTAATTACTTCTCACAAATCATTTTGTTTGTATACTAAGAAAATGAAATTACTACTTAGTGTAGGAACTAAATTAAAAAACTATCTCTACTTAAATGTGTAATAAAATAATATGTTACTACTTATATAAGCTTTTAACAGAATTTACTAAAAATACAATGAAATTATAAAAATATAAAAATAAATAATATATACATGAATTTCAAAAAATGTTTACTTAGGTGTACATCAACATAAAATATTAATACAAAGTTACAAAAGTTAAAAAAATATTTTATGAAAAATTTAATTATATCATTTAAATTTATATCTCTTCGAGTTTAGGGAACATTATAGTGTTTAAAACAGCTGGCTGGGGAATTTTTTTTGTTTGTTTGATATCTGGACCACCATCTTCTACCTTGCAATTTTCATGAAAATGTACGCCTTTACTACTACTATATTTATCATCAAGTTTATGGTTTTCCTTGGTACTTGATACTGAAATTTATAAATAATATTTAAAAAATTAGTATAACAAATCTTTTTATTGTATATATTATCATGAAGTTAATTTCTTGTAAGATAAAAAATGTTTAAAGAATTATTTTTTTAGCTTAAATTAGTTAAGTACAATTTTTGATTTATCTAGCATATCAAGTATTTTTAAGCACATCCTAATAATAGCTTCAACATTATATTTTTAATTGTCAGCTTATATATTATAAAATCATAAAAACTGGTTAATTATAACATAATATGTAAACCATATTAAAATAAAATTTAATTCTTGTAGATTATAAATAATATATATTAATTATTTAATTATAAAGTTTTATTATTTTTGGGATTGTATTTACTAATAAATAAAAATTATATCAAAATAAAGGGTTATACAAATGTTTTAAGATTTATTTATATTAATTTATTAATGCTTGAAAAAAAAAACAATATGAAAAATAAATTGTATTGATTCATTTTTACTTTATAAAGAAAATCTTAATGTGACTAATAACACTTTTAATTAAATTATAATTACTTTTAGCTTTTAATGCAGAAATTTGTTGTTCCAACTCTTTTAGTTGTAATTTGTCTCTTCTCATTTCTTTTTTAAGTTGTCTGATTTCACATTCACCTTTGAAACATTGTTGCCTAGCTTCCATATCTCTAACAGATCTTCTATTCATCTCTTCTTCAAGAGCTTTTTTTTCTTTCCTAAACAAAAATAAATAAAACATTCAACATGATAAAAACATATATATTTTAAAATGCTTTTAATTTTAAAATTTAAAACCACAAATCCTTTAAAATTTTTTAAATTAAATAACATTTATTAAAACAGGAACTTATTTAAAGATTCATAAATTTATTTTATGATCTTCAAATGAAATTATAAGCTCTATATTTTGATAACACCAACATTATCATTAAAACTAACTTTTTAAATTTTGCAAACATATTTATATGAAATTTAACAAAAATATATCTTTTTAATTGTGTATAAATGAGTTTTTCACTAAGTTAACAATATAATATATTGTTCTATATTAAATGTTTGCCTATATCAACATATTATTTACATTAAAAAATGCAAACTTTTTTGTTAAATGACAAAAAAAAAATTAAAAATAATTTAAGTTAAAATATTTTTGGTTAAATTATCTAATGTTTTTAAAATGTACGTAAAAATAGCTTTATAAAACAATACTAGTTTATTTACCTAACATCAGACACAATTTGCAATACAACATTCATGCCTTCATTATTCAAATTATCTATTTGTAAAACTTGAGGAGTATCAGGCCTTTTTTCTAAATCTCTTACTTTTGCTTCTAAATCCTATTTCCAACAGAAATATAGTTAATTATAATTAAAACAAAATTTAAAAATCAATTTATTATGTTTATATTTTTCAATGTTCAACTTACACTAATTCGATTTTTATAACTTTGAATCAAGGTTGATTTTTCCAAATCATCAGTTTTTTCAGATTCTAATAGTTGTTTTTCTAGTCTCATAATTTCCATCTAAATATTCATGCATTGATGTTTTTAGAAATTGTATAATATTCACATAATTTCATTACCTTCATTTGATTATTATCATGATTGGCTTTTGACAAACATTTTTTTAATGTTTCATACTTCTCTTTTTTTGTTTCTAATTCAGCTGTTAATGCTTGCCGCTTATCATCAACTTCAGCAAATAAGGAATTCCCTCTTTTATTATGATCATTTAAACTATTTGTATTGTTTATTTGTAAACGTAACATATTGCAATCATCTTGTAATACCTAAAAAAAATAAAATTTCAAATTAAAACATAAATTGAAACTACAATATTTTAATAATTAAAACTATTAAATTATTTATATAAAACTACATTTAATTAATGTTAATAAGATTTATTTTTCACCAATTAAAAAATATATTTATTAATATTCAAACTAATCATTTATTTGTTAAAAAAATTCTAAAAACGATATTAAATATTTGAACACAAAAATTATATATTTATCAATTTAATTTTTCATCATAAAGTCATACAATTATCATATTCATTAGAATATTTAAATTTTATCTAATGATACTTTAGACCTGTGAGCAACATATAGTTTATATTATGATAAATTTATTAATAATTTTTTTACTGCCATTCAAAGCGTTTTTTTTTTAATCCAAGCAGCACTTCTAAAATAATACTATCATAAATAAAATGAAGAACCATAATATTGAATTTTGAAAAATGTTAAACATACTTCATATTTTTCTTTCCATTCATTAAGTTGATTGTTTTTAAAACCAAGTTGATTTTTTACATTTTCAAGTTCTTCGAGAGCTTTAATTTTCAAAGTATCAATTTCAAGAATAACATTTTCTTGATCTTTAATCATATTTTGCATTTCTTCATATTTTTCCTGGAAAAAATATTATATACCTATAATTATTAAAAAATAAATGAATAACTTATATAACATCTAAAGCTTAATGAAAGATTAGGCAAATTTTTTTCAATTTCTCAACTGTTTTCAAAAATTTTAGTACTTAAAAAAAAATTTAATAGTTTAAGAACTCATATTTTTTTCTTCAATATTTGCTACTGATAAAGATAATTATTATTAGAACAATTTCTATCCAATATAAAATTTTATTTAATTAAATATTTGTATATTGAATTATGATAAACATAAAATATTATTTTTTCCATTGAATATCATAAATATAAATAAAACTAGAAAAACTAATTTATTAAATATTAGGATCATAATAAATTATTAAGATTTTTAATGAGTTTTGCATTAAAAACTTAAAGCATAAAGAAACCCTATAAACCATTTCCTAAATACAAACTAATTTAAGTAAACAAAATAAGTATTTTGTATAATTATAAAAATATATGTTTAACAATAATTTTTGAACATTACAAGATTTTATTGAACATCAAACTCCCGATTTTTGACAAATGGATAGTATAAAAAAAAAAAAAAAAAAAAAAAAAAAAAAAAAAAA